CCAGGGCCCTGCCACCGAGGAGATTTTTGACCACCTTGGTGTGGTCAAAAATTATTATCCTTGCAAAACTTAAATAAAAAATTCCAGTTTTTTATACCTACTGTTACAAAACAGTGTTGCAAAAAGGCTATAATAAACAAACATTTTGTTCAAATCAGAATTTTGCTAAATGTTTGCAAACATGCCAGCCCCTTCGAATGTTTACTTGTATCTTAACCCTTAAAAATCTATAACTTTTACTCACACACAGTACAACGGGGGTGTAAAAAAATCATGATCAAGAAATGGAAGTCTGAATAAAATGGCAGAAAACCAGTTGATTCTCTTCTAAAAAGGCTTCATTCTCTTCTCAGACTCCAATCAGCTCCAAGAAGACACACAACGGTCAGGCTTCTGAGTAAGGAGGGAAACAAGGATGGGGAGAGGTGGAGAACTTATTTCTAGCTGCAGAACTGGCTGGAAGATGGTTATTTTAATGTATCTATTTATTTTTTATATCATACAGGCTGTATGATGTATAATTAATTTAATGCTGAGTTTTTGAAAAAATCTGTGAGATTGCCCTATACATCCATGTAACTTCAAATTGGGGGAAAACCTATGTAATTTACGGACAATCCATACAACTTGACATGTWTGTGTTTGTATCTGTGTTTCTACATAAGAATCATGTGTAGGAGTTTTTGTGCATTTTGTACTGTTAGTTTTAAGTTTGTTATATTATTAGTATAATACTTGATGTATTTTATCTTTGTCTTTATGTAGGACTTCGATGACTTCATCTTTGCATTCTTTGCCATTGAAATGGTGATCAAAATGGTGGCACTGGGGATTTTTGGCAAGAAGTGTTACCTTGGAGATACATGGAACCGCTTGGACTTCTTTATAGTTTTGGCTGGGTGAGTAACAACACTCTGGGACATGCAGGAGTCTGTAGCTGTTTTAACCAAAAGCTTGTATTAAAATGAGCAAATCAATCTGTACAATGCATTTGGATTTCACAGATTTACAAGCAAGGGCAAAATTTACCAAATATTGAAGTTCAGTTCCTTAAAACTGTTTTTTGCATTAAAGCAGGGCCCGATTAACACTTCCCTGTACCCTGGGCAACAATATTCAAGGGCCCCATCATCACAACCCCAGGATTACCAGTCTGGCAAAATACAGAGTAAATTATTGCAATATATAGTAAATATACTCAATATTTCAAATTCTAAATGTATTTTGATGTACATTTTTTTAGAGGTCTATTGAGTGATTTATCATCCTCTCTTATTAAATCACGCACCTCTCCTTAGTGGCTAAAACACATATAATTACTAACAGTCACAGTACAGTTCCACTGACTGACTTAAGTTCTTTAAACCATTTATTAACAAAATCTAAAGTTTTAGCAGCCAAAAGATTGCCATATGGAAAACACCATTAGTGTAAGCAAACATAGACTTGAATAAGAACACTACCCATCCCATCCACTGGTAGCCTCTGTGACAGCATGGAGGAGCAGAAACAGACCAAACAGGACAACAGCTCACAGCCTCCATAGAAACTAATAGATAAACAGCAGCTGAACTGGATCTGTTTCACAGATTATTGGTCATGTTTTTACAATAAATTAATAGTTATGTTAATTTCATTCAACAATCATGTAAAACAGCAGATTTATAC